CACTAGCACACGTACGGAGTGGGTGCAGCAGGCATCGGTAACAGGAACACGTAAACATGCTAGGCTCGCGTACCTGAGAGATTTCATAAGTTGGGTCTAAGACAATTCCAGCAATGTTCATGGGCATGGAATAAAGGCAGGGCCCAGGTGCAGGCAATAAATTGAGACCTGGAGCAAGAGGAAGCCTCATTCCCCATAGTTAGCTCTCCGTGTGTGTGTGTGTCTCTCTCTCTCTCTATATATATATAATATATATATATATATATAATATATATATATATAATATATATTATATATAGTATGTATGTGTTCACACATATTTATGTGGGGTGTCCTGAAATTGGATATTCCCGGATTGTTGGTGTTTAAAGTACATCCAGCAAAATAACCCCAACACTTAGGGGTATCCGCCATCAGAGAACAAGCATATCGCTAAACAAGGTGGTCTTTGGCTCCCTGCACAAAACAAATATCTTTCCGCTGGTTGGCGGACCAATCCTTTTCCCAACAAAATAAAGGTCCAACCCAAAGACCCGAACTCACATGTGGCGAACGCTCTGCTCACTGATGCTCCGGGCGCGCGCCGCGGGCCGTGTGCCCTCCTGCCACAGCAGGCGGGGATGCGCGAGCGCCAGGCCGAGTGCCGGGGAGGTGGCCAAAAATAGGAGCGTGTTTCCAAGGTTGATTCGCCATTCACCATCCTTCTCTGGAGAAATGAAGCTTCCTTTCAGGCATCTTCTGAAAGAAGGAACCCTGGAAAGAAATGGGCAAGTACAGCTAGAACGGTGTTGACTTGTGGTGCTTTTGAAAATAATGCTAGCACTGTTCGCAACCCCAGACAAAGCAACCTGCCCACAATCGCAAAATTGGAGAAGCTCAGATCCGAATCAACAACTGAAACATAGACCATTGAGTTATATGGATCGCTCAATTCAAGCGCTTGCATGATGTTGAGCCTTGTAGTGACTTGGGATAGTGATCAGGACATGATTCTCCTCAGCACCCTGGGCAAGCCTCAAAAAATGTGACTAAATTGTGGTTTGGGTCTGAAGACATCCCCCAAACATTCGGAGGACCTTCAATATGATTGTTGTGAGATGGAGCACATACCAAGATTGCTCTTGGTCTGAAATCCCCATCTACTTTGAATGAGCGAAAGGCTGAAGGTCATCTTCTTGACCAAAGAAGGATGATGTATAAGATCAACAACAACAACCGATATAGTCTTCTCCAACTGTTCGACCGTTAACAATGAGGGGTGGGTGGATCAAACTTATGGGCAAATGGCTGATTAGACTGTGCTGAGCTGGCATTGCCAGCAAATCAGCCACTGTGTGTGTGTGCACCACTGCCTCCAGGACAGCAAAAGCAACACGATAAATATAAATCAGACAATGCCCTACCCAAACCAAGGGTAGATTACCAATGATCAATTTTATTGACAGCTGCTCCTGCTTCGAACATGGAACTGCTATCAATTGACATGGGAATCACCTGTCTCACCTCGTGAACATCCGCAAGCCAGCTGAAATGGATTCTTGCAAACTGCGTGAGTTCAAGATGCCGAAGCTGTCCAGTCAACAAAGGCAAACCTCAACTGGAATGATATGGCAGTTTGTCAAATCTAGGGGCCCTGTCAACACGGCACTAATTACATGTCACCAGGACATCGCAAAATGGCCCCCGTGTTTGACAACCTGACACATGGAGAATGATGTGTGCCGCTGGCACAGGGTTTGCTTTTCATGAATCGCGACTGTGCCGTCTCCATCGACAAGGCAATCGTCCCTAATGGAAACTGGAAACGGTAGAGCAATCCACACTGAGTTCCCAATGTGTCCTTTAAGCACCTCACCGAATGGAAACTGACTTGAAAGCCCAAAGCAACACCAAAAGTGGAAACTGCAGTAAAGCACAAAGCATAAATAAAGACAAGCAACACACATGACATGTGTGTCTTTGGGGTTCGAAGTTGTGTCTGCCAAAACAAGCTGAAAAGTCTTGGTTCCCTTGAAGCCAAGGTGAAAAGGGTACAGAGCCTCAACAAAAACACACAACATAACCCGATCTATGCTCCCAGATTGCGCTCCTGCGCGCGCTCCTTTGGCTCCCTTGGCGCCTCAGCTGGAGCTCCCATTTTGTGGCAGCAAAAGACGCAAAGGTGGCCCCTTCTTTGGGATCTGTCCGGGGCCTTGTAACCCTCATGTTTGGCCACCCCAGTGGTTAAACCTCTTTGGGGTTACCCTTGTGGGTGACCCCGTAAATCAAGCCCGACCCAGTGGTCTGGTTGCTGGGTAAACTTATAAATACTCAAGGGATTGGCATAAAACCGGGACTCACGCGCACTCAAATAGGCTCCCTGGCTGTTGGGTGATATCAACGGCACTGTGTGGGTGTGTGGTGGCCGTGTACTGTACAGAGAACCGAATCATCTAGCTATGTATGCTTAACAATGGATGTGGAGGGCATTGCAAGCTGGAAACACCGGGAAAAGCACCAGGAAATCCCATGGAGGCCTTTTGGAGACAGCTTCCCAGAAGTCGGCTCTTGAGATCAGCTTCGAGCCAGAAATTCTTTAAATTCGAGGAACAATTCGAAACCTTGATTCCCATCTTTGGTCTCTCTTCAACCAAGGCCACCTCGGTTTCCCCAATCGAGGGATTGCCTTGCACACCGCGGCAGTTGAGGCTGCTAAGCCTTCGTCTTCGCGAGCCACGCTAAAAATGGCCTCTCTCTCCAAGGGGACATAAGAAACTTCGTGAGTTCACTAGTTCGTGTGGGCATTTAGTAAGTCCAATCCCTCCCAATTGAACCAGCTACGGGAAATATGTCGACCAAACCTCTGGAAAGCTCGGAGAAAGGAGCTAGGGCATGGGCCATTCAACCTGGCACTCGCACGGTCGTGAGCTCGTAAACTCCCAGATACGTTGCAAGGCGATCTTGTGATGCGTGGGGTCTGGGGGCAGAGCGTATCTGCGCGGTTGCTAGCCAACCTGAGGTAAGGGAACGAAGCACAATTCATGGAGAGAAAACGTTGCAACCCTCAAGGCTCAAGGAATGCGTAACATGAATAAGGATTGATACAGATCAATGACAATGGTGAAGACACTCAGACAAAATATGCTGTGTCCAGATCGAGCACTAGCGCACATGGTGAGACTGAAACAAACTTGAAACATCAAATGCAACCTCCCTGCAATGTTCAAGCAGAACGAACGTGCAAGACAATGCAACCTCACCCATCCAAGCAACACACAAAATGGTCATTTGATCTCTCCAGAGAGACAAACCTGTGGACCATTCATGGGTGTCCTCTTGCAGTGGGAAGGTTTTGGCTTTATCAGGACAAAACATTGCGGTCAGGTTGATGATCTATGTTTCCAATCATGAAGCCTTCGCATGTGACAACCTTTAGAGTGCGTCATGTAGGCCAATCTGGCAGTTGGTGAATGTATTGGACAAGCCAATTGCTCTAAGCATAACATTCCACCTCAAGCAAACTCAAGCTATTCCAAGGCTTCAAAGTTCGTAGCGAGGACCCTGAACACATCCACACCATAGAAAAGTGTTCCTGCGCAAATGGTGATTCAGCAGAAGCCGGAGGGTTGTCAGAAAGCCATCGAAAGAGGGCTTCAAGTGGTCAGGTGTGGCCACAATCTTTTGGACTCTTTGCTCGCGCAAGGCATCTGAGTTTTTCTTGCAAAACACAAACACAAACACACACACACCAAAAAAATGTGGCCTCATGGTTCAAAGTTCAAGAACTAAGAAACAACCGGCACTTGCCTATGGCCTTCAAGACACTGCATGCAGCATTTTCGGCGGTCCCTGGAGAGGGCCCCCCGCCTTCTGCGCAAGTTCAAGAAGTTGGCGAAGTCCCATGTTGGAAGGAAAGCGGATGAGTCCTTAAGTGCATCCTCCAATTGGTAAGTGAGTCAAACAAGCACCACATCTAAAAAGCAAACCACGCAGAATGGAGCGCACACGCAGCAAATCGTGGCTCGCATGTATCTCTTCTTTGGCCCCACAAAGATTTGATCCGGCATTTGTCTGGGAGCCGAAACAGCGAGTTCCTGTGCGTGTGTGCTCAACATACATACAGAGCCCCTTTTCAGATGGCGTAAAGGGAACCTCAAGTACACCACCTGGAGGGTTTCGGCCCGCGAAATTTGGGAGACGTCCATCTAGGCGTTGTCCCGTGACCGAGTAAACCCCCAGCTGCACTATATCTGTTGATATTTGGTTCTACCAAACTCGCTATCAAACTCGCTACAACCTGTCTGTTTAGGCTATTCTCAAGTTCACTTCTTGTTGTACCTGAAAGTTATGTAGAACCCTGCACGCTAATGCTGCCTAATATTGACATGGCGTGATTAAGCTGGCAAGGCTCGCTGTACCGCCAATAAAAACTGGGGCAGCCAGGTGCTTCCTAGAGGAATGTACTCATCACATGCAATACCAAGGATGCAGTACAGTCATGACGTGAATCTTTGTGAATCATGACAACTCACAAAGCTGACAGCATGGGGTTGGAAGTTGTAAACAAAAACACTTTGCAAGGTCGATATGATTGGTCCAGATGCAAAACCCATGGATGACATCCAGGGATCACATCTCGGTTTCTAAACAAGTGTTTTGTTGGGGTTTCCCTTTTAGGGTTAAAGGGCAAACCAAAAGGACACCAACACAACAGTTTTAATTTTGAGGCAAACCCAAATCTCACCCAGGCCCCGAAACACATGGCATGCAAATTTAGCGCAAACAGTGCGCGGTGGTGGTTCAGGTGCTCAGCCATCCCTTGGCACTTGGCTGACGCGGGCCCTTCTTAGTTTCAGGCTGCCAACCGTTTTGGTTCACCCCGTGAAAAGCCATGGCAAGATTCCCCGTGCCTATTAACTTGATCGACTGGCTGATCATTCTTGACATTGAGGCTCTGGCATGCGGCTCTAACCTGGCATCTGATCAGTTCCTCCCCTCCCAGCAGCTGATCTTTGTCATTTTCCGTCAATCTGGGTCGGCGCTGTGCTGCCTGCCGGGGGCAGTTGGACTGAATGAAAGGTCTTCTGGTCCCCCAGTAGGAAAAACGTATCCTTTTGGTTTCCTCAAAGAACCAAACAAAAGAGGGCTCCCCAAAGACACACCCTGGATCTACTTCTGGAGACCGGGGGGACCCACCAACAGCCGGTCGCACCTGGTTGCACCATCCAGCACGTGCGGCCAAAGCTCCTGGGGGCGACACATGACGTCGCACCAGGATAGGTACACCATACCAGTGCTGACATGCGTTGCCAGGCCAGAAATAGTTCGCGTCCCGTGGAAAACTTTCAAGCCTTGGCCTAGACCGACTGACCACACGCCAACATAAGCCCTAAACGCCTCGAGGTGTGGTGCCAAAAGAAGAATCCGAACATACAACACGAGCAGCTCAAATCAACAACAGAACTGCTTTGATGCTGACCATGCCCAAATCAGAAATGATCAGGTCTAGAAGAATACAACTTTTCAACGGGCGTGGAAAAGATCCCTTAAAAACACCCTTGATCCTGGGTGAGATCGTGCCCCAAGCGGGAACAAATGATGCACACAATGCATGTGTGTGTACGACACAAACATACATACACATGCGTGCATATATATATATATATGTATATATACATATATACATATCCTTACTTATTTTGTAATATGATGTTTTCATGTGTACATGCAGCGGCTCTTTCACGGGGCATCGCAGAAATAGGGCGCTTCCTTGCCTATATTGGTTCCGCCTGAAACTCCCTGACACCCAAACTTGCTGAATGTCCCTTTTTGGGGCTACTTTGGCAACAACCTCAAGGACACTGAATCCCATTGGCTCTTCCTTACCCTGAACTTTGATCTGTCTCAAATGCAAAGTGGTCCCTTGCTTCTCCCTCCGATTTCCCGGGCTTTCGTCAGTAAAACATGGACGCCGGGAACGGCCCCGCTCCGGGCGCCGGAGGCTCTGCTCCGGGACCTGCTCCACCTCCCGCGGCGCGTCGCGCCTGGAGCTTTGGGCATCGGTCGGGTACCCGTTTTGGGGTGTTGGCTTAAAGGGAAACCGCTGAAGGACACCCGAAAAACCCACCATGTTGGGGGTTCCCCTAAAAAAAGACACACCCCCATGGATATGAAATTCAATGGATATGAAATTCAATGGATCCCGGATCTTGTGGACATTTGCAAAGTTGATGTCCATACCACTTTTAAAGAGGTTCCCTAGTAAAGCTCATAGCCACATGTGTATGGTTGTACGTGTTGCGCCCCCCCCCCCCCGTGGCTTATGCACTGTGAGCATCCGCAGCCAGGCCTTTGGAACAGGAGCAGGTAGTTCCTGGGATGCAGCGTGTAGCATTCTGGAGCACAACGCGGAGCAATCCAATCGTTGTGCCGAAAGCACATCAGAACAAAACGATCCAATCATGATACCCCCAAATGACCAAAGAGAACATGTTGGGGTCACACAGTTGCGAGGCAGCAACCCATATCATTGGCGGACTGCTTCTCGGGAGTGAAGCCGTCGAGCCACGCGCGTTTCACGCAGATGTTGCAGCTCTCGGTATCGCACGCGAAGGTGAAGCTTCGTGTTGACCGTAGCGCGTAGCACGTGCTAAATCTTCCTTGTGCTCAGCGCATCATTCAATAGTCTTCCCGACTACATGATGCCAGTCTGCGCAAGGAATGAGGTGTGTCTTCACTGCGCACTCGCATAAATTGAGTGTGAGGCAAGAGCTGAGACTACACGTGCAACAATCATACGGCACGGACAGAATACTAGTAAAGAAGCTGGGTACACGTGTTCTAAATTGGCTAGGAACCGTACTGATCTCCCCGCAAGTAAACACAATATATGTTTCACGTCCAGAACTTGCAACTTTGACAAAACTGAGCCCTGCAATGCATGTTGGCAAGTGTCTTTTTCGGCTCCAAACACTGATTTACTGTTGATTCTGCCAACCAGGGCTCAACCTTGGATGTGCATCCTTCCAACCAGAAGGCCAAACATGCAAAAATGTTACTCCCCTGACTAACGTGAATCGGCAAAACGTTTTCATGTCTAGAGGAATCTCCCTTTCGAGGACCCTTTTGTGGGCTGCCAGTTTGGACGAGGCGCCAGGAGCCGATCACCTTCTTCTCCGTGGTCTGCGGAAACGATCCGGGTATGTGCTCTAAACTCTTAAGTGTGCCACTGAAGAACAAAACCCACAAAACGCACCTGGGATAGATGAAGCCCTACGAAACATGATCGTGTGTAACTGGTGGTGTGGATTCTGTCCAAGTATCATGCCCTGGTGTGTTGGTGGGTGTGTTGCTGTTTGCACGTTGCAATTCAATGGACAATCTCATGGCTTCAACAAAAATATCGCACGCCTGACCAGAAATGTGTACATCATCAATTTGCACGACATACAATCATTGCGCGATACTTTCAGATCCTTGAGATACACAAAGTTCACACGGACCGGACAGAAACCTTCAGATCTAGCCAAGAACGAGCATAGCCAAGCCCCAATCATGTCCCCACTCCTTGCTTCTTTCCATCCTTGCCTCTCTTCCTTCACGTGCCTCTCCCTCCTTCCTGCCCCTCTGCCAGTACTGATATCAGCTTGGGATCTCTATACCCAAGGACCCTCCAATCTTGGTAGAGGCAAGAAAGCGAACCCGTCGGCTGTTTTGGATTGGGGGCTGTGAGCTGATCAAATGATATCATTGTGTCTACCTCGAAAAAGTGCTGCGTGTGTCAATCACATTGGTTGTTTTATCGATGCTACAAGCCCAGAGATGTCTTACAGCTGCATAGCAACAAGTCTTGTGCTATCTTGACTAAAACATACTAGATAGAAACTGGGATTGTTGAGCCAAATTACTGCCTTGCGAGTCTCCCACCGGCTTCCAAAGCAGGGTGCCATAGTTTGCCACATCAGCAGGTCATCCTTTTCAGCACAACATGTTTGCCAAGAAGAAACAAAACCGTCTGTGATCACATCTGCCTGCCTACTCTTTGTTGGCTTCCTCCAGACTTCCAGGCATAAATGAAGTAACGTTGTTTGAATCCTGAAGCAAACCTTGCTTGTCCTATGTGGCGACCCGCGAGAAGAGTCGGGGTGAGTCTCCTCAAGCAACCTCGCAAGATTCGAGTATTTGTCAACCGTGACGCCAATCAAACAAGATATGATTATGAGCAAGGATTCAAGGCAAGAGCACTCCTTGCCCTCTGCCAGACAAAAATCCAGGTGATTTCAGCGCAGATTATCTTTTTCTAACAATTGTGGAAGCGCCCAGGAGGCCTATTCCAGATCCTAACCCCGCCTGTCAACTTCCAAACGTATTGATGGGAGGATGGGGAACCGGTCCCATCTGGCCCATCTGTGTCGAATTTCCCGAGAGAGCCGCCTCGCACCCGGCTCTCCCCAGGTACTCAGTGCGAGAGTCATCGAACCGCCACCACCTGCGCTTGGCCCGGGCCCGGCTGCTGGTGCGGGTTGACTGATGGCCATATGGTTGCCTCCACCCTGCTTCGTATTTCTCTGAATGACCAAGGAAGGCAACACTGCGCAGCTCAGTCATGGTACTCCTTAGTTAGCTTCTGAAGAGCTCCACTATCAACCGTCCCTTTCCCGTCATCCTTTGCCAAGACTTGTTTGGTCGCGCAAAGCTTCAACGAGCTGCAGGCTGAATACAATCAATGCCAATTATTCAAAGACCTACTCAAAAGCGCAAATGAGTGAAATGGCGCAATCAAATAGGCACGTGTGAAAATCACATAGAAATTCAAGCGATGCCAAATCTCAGCGGAAACATCGAGGGGCCAAGACCGCCTTTTTGGCAGCACTACATCTGGACCCACCTAAAACCCACCCATGGATTTACAGAAAAGGCGCCCCTTGCGATGTGATTTAGCTGCCAGTCTTGCTAAAGCACTGCAAAAAACCAGGGTTTTCTGCATGTGCACGCGCTGGTGCCTAGGCGCAATGCACATTTTCCTGTCGCATCTGAAACTGACCATTCTCAGGTGGGAACACAAAAGAGGCACACTGGACAACTACCTCCTACAACATGTTCGAACTCCTCACAAGGAAACTTGAACGGACCCATCCCATCCCAGGCACTCACTCGTTCGGCCCCCCGGCCCGTCCGCTCTTCGGCAGGAGGCCGTGTAGTGCCCCGACATGGGCGAGGCGCCTTGCGGTGCCGATGTTCCTTGGGCTTGCTTGGGGTCCAGTTCGGGGCGTAGCCTCAAACTAGCTCAGCTGTTGCCCCTAAATCATGTTTAACTCTGATCCACACTTGGTGAACATGGCGAACCTTGGAATCTACAATCATTGAAACAAGATCCCATCAAGCCCAATTGGTATCCCCAACAGCGACCCAACCCGAAACCCTTGCGAGAACTCGTTCCGAATTTCATCCTTTAGTCGTTTCGAACAAGAACCTTAAAGCTTTCAGCTGTGGGGGAAAGGGTGTTTCCAAAAATAAGGAACCCTGTTTCAGATGATTTTAAACGGCAGCCAAACCAAATGTACCCACCTTTTCAGGGTTCCCTATTGTTGAAAACACCCAGGCAAGAGTGTCCCTGGCCAGAACACTGCTCAGATCTGCCAGGCTTGTTTCTTTGCAAGCTCCAACTGAATTTCCCAGTATTCTGCTCACACAGTCGAGGTAAACACAAGGTGCAGGGGGTCAGGCCACAAATCTCCCAAAGCAGACCATGGCAGCTCCAACAATTCTCCGATTCTGGGTGAGGGCTGTGAGTTTCCCATGGCAGGGGTCATGATTTTCAGGTTGTGTATGACCCCAAGTCGGCTGCGTCTGCCTGCATGATCTACAGCTGCGAAGAGATCCTTGGCGGCCAGCTGCTTTGCAACTACAAGCAGTGATGTGTGTTTTGCTGTTGAGTCTGGGGTTGCTTTCAAGGACGCACCACGGCCAAACAACCCATTTGGGGGGTACCACCATCTTGCGTCAAAGCCATTTTCCCATCCTGGGTACCGGGTACCACGCATGCTTGGGTGTCACTTTGGGATTCCGCAAGGTTTCCCTCAAAGCGCGGTGGTCCTTCCGGGATGTGCCAGTTGGTTGTTATAATCGACCGTTTCCGTTTGCTTTGCCGCGGGGACATGTTGCAGGTCCTTCAACACGGAACATGCTTGACGCACCAGGAAAATGCAAGGCAATGAACAGTAGGAAGCTTGATCGGGCAAGTTGTGTCATTCACACTGGCTTGCGGGTTCTTAGCACGGAGCGAGGGAAAGAGCGTTCTGAGCAAGGAGTGACTCAGAAATCAAGCCCATATGGGTTTCCCCGATGGACAGCTGGGCTCGTTTCCAAGTTGGCAATACTTCCTGCTGAGAACTTGGTGTACAGTTGCCGAAATGTGTGATGAAGGCTTCCTTCCTGAATCCCTATCTTACGGTGCACAACTCGTGATGATTCCCCGAACAGTTGATAAGCCTTGAACTTTGCATTTGTTGGTTGATTTTCCAGATGTGCGTGGCACCACCGTATTTTGGCATAGTACCGGTGACGAAAACAAAGCAAAGCGAGGTGTGTTGACGGTTGACCGCAAGCCCCACCATTCAGGGACTGCGCACGCGTCTGTGCTGCTGGCTTGTAGTAGCCAGATTTTCCGGTCAGCTGAAGAACTGACTTGCACTGAAGTTCGCCATGGGCACATGCTTCGTCAAAAACACACAGAGTTGTAGCTGGAGTTGGCAAAAACTAGAGCATTAGTCCTGATGCCTTGTTTATTTCGGGTGTTTGACTGACCGTCTGTTTATCTTATGCACTGTCAACCGGTAACATCATCGGAAGTCTGCTGGAATAAGATGGAGGGCCACCTAAGTCGTGTTAAAGGACTTCGGGAACAGCCATCGCGATGAGACCGATCTGCTTGGAAAGCAAGAGGAACAAACCGATCCAACCAATCTAGAACCAAACAGATATGGTTTCCTTTGGTTTCCTTTGGTTTCCTTTGGTTTCCCGTTTTTTCACAAACCCAAAAGGCAACACGCTGAAACGGGACACACCCCAGTCAGTTGGCCTGTTGGGCCAGTTAGCTCTGCCCCCGCGGCTTCCAACTGGGGGCCCTGGGCGTACTGCAGCGGCGCCCGCTGCGGAGACCTTCGGATGCCGGTTGGCTCAGGCTCAGGCACCACATGTTTTAAGGCTTCGGGGGGGAAGGGGGAGGGGGGGGGACCTTAAAGTTTCCATGTTCTCAATTCTGACTATTCCCACTTGGACCAATTTAGAAACAAATCGTAGCGAACCCTTCACATCGGAAGTATGTCCAAAAAAAAGAGGGAGCCCCAAAGTGAGTGGATTGATTCTCGTTCCCTTTCAAGCCCTCCAAAAAAGGGGGTCAAATTCCTGTGAAGAACGAGGCAAAAGGGTGATGCGCACTCCCTATGAGCGGCAGACATTTTGATATCTCTACGGCAGGTCCAGATGCAAAAGCTCCAGGTGTCCAGGAAGGGCCATGTCGGAAAGCGCTGTGTCCACTAGCTCCTCACTTGAATCAGATACTTCAGCTGACTTCCTGTTGATCTCCCAGCACTGCAAGGCTCATCCAAACGGAATGTCCCAGCAAATCCCTGGCGCTCAAGGAACCGCTGGGACTTAGTGAAAGATGTTCCACCTTCCAAGGAGAATACTCGACGTTAAGACGTATAAGCATGGGACCATGAGGACCCTTGCGCCAATACCAATACTTCCACCTCGACATGAAAGACGACAAAGGCTTTCAGGGTTCAGATACTTCCTTGACTCGAGGGCCGGACATCTTCGAGACGAAGTCCTGCAGATCCAAATGCTCATTTGTAGCGACCTGCGACATGCTGCCCGGCTGCACGGGTCCCAAATGGTATGTCAAATCATATCACAAGGTGTCCCTCTCTCGATTTGTTGGCGGCCTCCTTGGCTCGGCTTTCCCCTCCGGGTCGGAGGCCATCTGGATGTTGAACACAAATTGCTCAACTCTGGTGCGACGTTGCAAAGGGGAAGCCACACCTAGAGCATCATTGACAATGATATACACTACTCGTACAATATGGTTGCAAAGCATTTTCACAACAAGCATGCCACCTAGCAATTGTAAAACTGCACCAGCAGTTGTGTCCCCGGCAGCCATGTTGAGGATTCCAACTCTGAAAATTCATGGCCACTTGAGGATTCCCTTCAAGCTGGAAGGTCCTCTTATACAATCCCCAACGCTCCGACTCTATCGTCAGAGGGCAACTTAGGGCAACTCTCTTGCCGGCCAGTCAAGGAAGCACAGGTGTCGCTCGAGTACGCAGCATCTTTCAGACACGGCGTGCTCAATGCTGACTGCACACTGTATACTTCCAGCTGTAACCTTTCCGGCTGCTTCAAACCAAAGGAATATGGATGGAAATGGAACAATAGGGTACAACCCCCCAAAAACTGTAGCTGCATGCAACTGCACATCCTGTTGAGGCTCGCATTGGAAGACCGATGTGCTATTTTGGTGAAGGGCATGGATTGGCAGGCCCCTTGCAAAACCTGGTCTCGGTAGGTACGCGAATGTCTGACATTTGGCGTCGCTGCAACTCTTCGCAGCACAGCAGGGCACATGATTCCCAAAAAGGCATGCCCTGGCATGCCGACAATCTTCGACGAAATCGGTTTGTCTGAAGTCACACTGGCCAGTGGCAAAACCCCCAGAAAACTTCAAACATGGTCGGTGCTTCAGCAGTCAGCGCGCCATGGAAAAAGTGTAGCGCATCCACTGCGTGCGGCGCCTCCCCCTCAATCTTCCACGTGGGTCGCCAGGAGGCAGCCTCCCGACAACGCAAAGTCAGAAGGCTGCCCTCAACATGTTTGGGACATGTAAGCAGCCACACAAAGCGACCCAAATCAAACCTGATATTGAGGGGTCTTCCATGTCTACCCAAATCCATGGAAGCAATCAAAAGGGCGACTGCAACTTTTCATGGCTGGGACTGTCCCTTACTAGCCTTCATCCACCCGGGTTTGGATCCTGGGCAAACCGCTGGTGACAAACGTGCGGGCAAATGCTCTAAACATGCCTGCTCCGAATCACAACACAACTAGAATCTTTTGGGAGCCTTTGGAGGCATTTGAGCCGTGCCGAATACTCTTGCGTAAACAGCGGTACTATGAACTTGCTTTCGCGAACCCTTGCGCGATGCTTTCGCGACCCCATGTTTTGCTTTCGCGGGCTTCGCTTTCTTTGGAATTCGCTTTCTCGGACTGTCGCACCCTTTGGACTGTGGCTTTCGCGGGGCTTTCGCGGGACCTTCTTCAGGCACGTTCGCGGCAAGCTTTCGCAAGCCTTCGCGGCCTGCGATTTGGCTTTCGCGAGGGTTCTATAGGACACCCCCTTTACAACTTTGTATTGTCAGGGTTTATGGCGCTCATTTGTTGTGGGTCCTATTGGATCCAATCCATCCGAGGGAGTTGTGGCATCGGCCACTGCCACCCATTTCTCCACCCCCCCGAAACCTGTGCGAAAACGCAGGGGGGACTCCTCCTAGTGTAACACCCAACGGCACTTTCGGCACAAATGGCAATTACTCGCGCAAACACACAGACACACAAACACCCAAAGGGTCAAACACAAAGAGCTGCAGACAAACAAACACACACATATGAGGGTTTCCGTAAAACACTGAGAAAAAAAGGCGGCGATCCCTCCGCTTCCGCGCCGCTTCCGCGGCGCAAAGCGTACCTTCTGCAGCATCCATAGCTGCGAATGCTCTTCATCTGCTCTGGTCAGCTGTGAAATTGCGATTGGTGATTCAGCAGATCCAGACCAAGGCATCTCCTTACAAGATCTCGAGAACATTCCGGGACAGGCTCTTGGTTCCAGTTTGCGGGCTATGCCAGCGATATGGGCATCGTTTGGGCATCGTTCGGGGCATCGTTCAAACCAAACCGTTTTCTTGTCCAGGCATGGTCAGTTTGATTTGTACAACAGCAAATGAGTTGGGTATCGGTTGGGCATCAGTTTGGGTATCGGTTTGGGCCCTGCAAATGTCTGATTCCGCAATCTGGGTTTGCGACAACAGCTTGGACCTGACATGTGTCTTGATGGCTTCTAGGGGTATCGTTTTTTCCTCTGTATCGGTTTACAATGGTTTGGGCCAGCAAAAAACAAGTTAAGGGACGTCCCCTTACATAACGAAAAGGCGCGGGGTTTTTATTTCAGTGCGCGTCGGGCACTTTCCGAGCTCCGGCTCGAGAATCGAAAATTTTAGTACAAATGTAGTACGCGAAGGCCACTTTCTCAGCTCCAGCTCGTTGATCTGGAACTTTTCATACACAGATGTAGTACGCGAGGTGCACTTTCCGAGATCCAGCTTGAGACTCGTAACTTTTCGGTACCAGCGTGTAACATGTTTAAAGGCAAGCCAATAGTTTGAAAGAACATAACAGGTCGCAGCTTCCGCGCCGCTTCCGCGGAGCTTCCGCGGCCTGCGTTTCACTTGCTTACCAACATAACCACCGCCACTAGCCACTAAAAAACGAATACAGCTATTTACGGAAAGCCTCATTTGGCAGGCATGTGTGCAGTGCTGCACGGACTCAGTTGAACGGGTGTGCTTACTATTTGGCAGGCATGTGTGCAGCGCTGCACGGACTCAGTTGAACGGGTGTGCTTACCATTTGGCAGGCATGTGTGCAGGGCGTGCTTACCATTTGGCAGGCATGTGTGCAGGGCTGCACGGACTGAGTTGAACGGGTGTGCTTACTCTTTGGCAGGCATGTGTGCAGTGCTGCACGGACTCAGTTGAACGGCGCAAACTGAGCGCAAACTGAGCAACCAATGCGTACCAAACCAAACGAAAGCACAACCACAACATTGACTGCTCAGCGAGGCTTTGCTTGAACCTTCTCATTTTGCATCAGCTTCACGTGCACATTCAGATCTCATTCGCGTCTCTACATATTCTTGTTGTTCTTCATGTCTGCATACCTGTTTAACTTGGGACGTAAGTCAAGAGCCAGGTTCAACCCCCAGTGCCTCGAAGCCAAAGCGCTTCAGGTGCACCAGCAAGAGCAAAGGCAGCTTCCTCGCTTCACCGGGAGTACGGATCCGGTTGCGATGTGGAAATCCCAACAAACATGGAGAGCTGCGAAGCTACTGGAGGGATTGAATTCGATGGAAGGTGGAATTTAAGAAAGACTCAAGTTGGTTGAGTGTGAATGGCTCGGTCCCATGGTCATGGACTTGTGGTATACCTCTGGTTTGCCTTTGGCCTTGGCTTCATGGCAGGCAAGTAAGGGTTCGTACAACCCTGTTACTGTATCAATGACTCCTCTCCTGCTAGTTTGTCATGGACTATTGCCACGTACCTTGATCACGCAACTCCAAATTGTACACCTCATAGTCGGTACATTGCTAAAATGGAGATTGTGCTTCTCGAGCAAGTTGAAAAAACAATTCCCAGGGGACACCCGAACGATGGCATTAGCCAAGTCTGCACTTGTCACTCGTGTGCCTGCAACTGCTGAAATTCCAAGTTGCACACAGCCCGATTGGAAACTGTGCACCCCTGGGAGGCCATCGTACTTCTCCAATGATGTCCATAACTCGCCAACCAATAAGGCCCTTCTCTTGTTTCAAGCTGTGCATGTTGCATTCAAAGCAATCGATAAGTGCATGTAGCAACCGCCTTTGCTTAGTGTGGCAGCCTGATCAACACACGCTCTACTTGGTGCCAGGTGCCGCTGACTTTTCCCACATGGATCATGGAAACACTGTCAACAGGAAAGCCTAACAATTCACGGACAAGGTGATGTGGTTTGGCGTTCAAACCAGACTCCAGTTGCAACAAACCGCTGTCCTGGAAAACAAACAGAACACAACATTGTGTTGGACAAGTCAGGGCCACCAAACCCTCATAAAACGTTCCGTAGGAAGTGTCAAGTTGGTAAGCATTACCCACACTTGGCACTGGAAAGCCGAACATACTGATACAGGCACATTCCAAAGTGGCTGCCAGTGATCTACGGTCGTGGCTCATGCCCTCCTCTTCCTAAGCAGGAGCTTGAAAGCATTTGATTTCAAGCCTCAAAGCACACGTGATGTGTGTTCCGTTTGGGGGGCAACAACGAAACTGCCCAGCAAAGGTGGTAGTCTAGAATTTCAAACGGAAGTCGCAATAGTCATGTCAGTTTTTCTGATGCGTTGATTGTGAGTAACACCATGATCCCGACCCTATTTTACAACTTTAGGGCAGGTACATCAGAAAATAAAGCTCTTCAAGTACACGTCAGGTGCAACGACTTCACCAAAATGTGTACATTCCCCGGCTCAGAACTGCCCGGCCCAGCCCCTGATGTGTGTCGCAGTCGGCGAACCGAAGAAAACCAACCTTTTTGGGCCGGGGTTGCTCCAATTGGAGACAAACCCAAAATGACACAAACTGACCGACACAGAGAGCGCTCTTTTCTCCCCGCACGGCTCGCGCAGGGCGCCATCAAATGGCCAGGTTCCTATGACAGCGCCTTGTCTTCGGCGCAGGCCTGCGAGGCGAAACATGCTCTCCTCAGAGTGATCGGCTAAACAAGACCCAACAAATGGCGGCGTCCTTTTGGTCATTTTGAAAGTCCAAAAAAATGGCAGGCAAGCTTGCGGCATTCTGGCTTGGCTTTTCCGGCGGGGACGCTTTTTCGGAATCTTGGCGGGTGCTTGAACACCTCTCCTGGCTGATTTGCTTGTTGTGTAGCAAAATCATGCCATCCCTTTCCTGCTCGCAGGATTCCATGGAGGGTGGGATGATCTTGGTCTCGACTTTTCAAGGATGGCATCTATCTGATATGCTGGTAGGTAGCTAGGACGTGATTGCAACTGGACACAAGCTTGACCCCTGAAGCATCGGGTGGAAGCCTTGGGGTGCTTCGCAACAATGCCTCACAGACCCTGGGGGGACCCCCATCATCTGACTTCACATTCCAGGATTTGTAGCCCTGTTGCGGGGAACCCCCTTGATTGTAATCAGGCCCAAAGCGATAGAAAGGCAAAGCAAACAACAAGATCCACATGCCGCACCTATGGGCAACACCCCCTGCTCCCCGGCAGGGATTCAGCCATGGCCAAACTCTTGCATGCCGCCGGCCAATGACCATCCAAACTTCCATGGTGCCTATCTCCAACTTCCGGATTAAATCAGGAGAACCGCATCAAACAAAGGAGGAATCGCCCGCCTTGGCGGCCGCAGGGTCAGTTGCCACCTGGATCGGAGATCGTGGACATCCCGAAAGCGTGCAGGTGCGTTCCCCCAAAAAAGGAACTTGGGGGGGCCAATTGGAACAGACCTGGAGGCTCCGGGAAGCTTCAAGCCAATTCAGAGAGGAGTTCAGAGAGGCGTGGTTGCTGTGACTTTGACAAGATCAACTACGACTCCGTGCTTCACAATTCAGACTCTTGCAAGAATAGATGCATTGTTCTTCTTCTTCGCTCATGGAACAACCCAAATGCTTGATTGCATCAACCCGGAAACCCGGTTCCTCCCCCCAGATCAAACCTGCAAACAACTGAGTCTCAGGAAACAACCGCGGGACTGAGTCAATTGCCCACACCAACCTCATGCCCAGCCCGCCCACCTCACCCACCCACCCCATGCCACCTCTCTCGAGACGAGCCCCCCACCTAAATGTCCTAAAGATATATGGTTCCTCTGATAAATGATTAGAACCAAATTGACATCGGCTTACTTCCACCTATTTTCAAGGTACCCCCTTTTCATAGTGATTTGGAGTTGGTTTTCTTTTACCATCCTCTGCTGCTGCCATACTTATCTGTTCCCATCTTTTCCAACTTGTGGTGACCTCTTCATTGATCTTTCCCTGACTCACCAAACCTGAACCCAGAACCAAAACCTCCAGTGGGCGTGCCCAAAAAAGGGGCACCCCTCTTTGTAATGCTTGATTTTATGGGTGTGTGTGTGTGTTTGTTTGAGGGGGGAAACATGGAAAGCAACCATTGTTGGGTTCCCCTCTTTTAAGACAAACTTCCCTTGGCCCACATCAGGGGTACAGAGAAAATAAGACTTTCTGATGCTTCATGTTGAGTCTACCCTGTAGGAGGAGACCCCAGTTGCAGAGAACTCCTCCGACTTCCGACCCCTCACTCGCCGCAACGCCTGGTCCGCGAGGTCCATCACCAGCTCACGGAAGAAGGCCAGGTGGTGCTGACGCTTCCGGAGCCGCAGCCCAGCCTTCACCTCACGCTTAGGTTTTGCTCAGGTTTCGTATTTTGTTGTCTTCTTGTTTGTTTGTTCGTTGTTTTGTGTTGCTGTTGTTTTTGGTGGTGTTTGTTTCTCCGAAGAGAAATACGGAGAATTGCGCTTGCCACGGCGCTGTGGCTAGTAGGTCATGTCCACCAAGGGCTCCCCGGTTGAAAACTCACACCTCATGTGTGGGTTTTGTTTGAGGGGTCCTTTCTTGGAGTTGTTCAAAAGAGAAACCCCACCAAAGGCACATGTAAAACCACTGAACATAGCGCCAAGTTGCAAAGGGGCGAGGCTCCTTTTTGGTTGGAACCCAACTGCAATGCATGGTAGATTGCGGGTGCCAAACCGACCGTCCACGGGGTAACCCAAACAAACAGCACCTTCCTTGTCTTTACCGGCTTACCAGGTAGCAGGCTTTGTGCGTTTCACGTGGCCACATCCCAAAACAGCTCCTTATGGACTCATCAGCCCAAGCGGAGCTGAGATGCAAACCATGTCACCCCGGGGATCGGCTGGACCTTTGTGCCAGGTCCCAGGCCCACTGCGACAAGGTGAGGGACGCAAAGACCTGCGGCGATTCTCTGGAACATACCTCGGGATCCTCACAAAATGTTGTCGACTCTAATGCGTCCCGGAACCCCTTTGGTGGAGTTCTCGTTTGGGTGGGGATGCATGTCCACCAACCACTTTTAGAAGTTCCCTGTTAGATTTGTAGCCACATGGTGTGGATGGACAAATCCACGCCAGGCACCACCACTTGGTAGATTGTTTATCCTTGTATTCATGGGGGGTTCATCCATCCCAGTTGATGCAGGATTTTGTCCATCCGCAGTAGCATCTGTCGGCGGGGGCGTGAACAAACACTCCCTGTTGAACGGACGCGCTGGTGTCATGTTTGTGGGGGAGCGTACCAGAGCAGTTGGCCCAAAACCAAAAACCTGGGGATTCACCATGGCTTTGGTATGAACCCGTAAGTTGCTGGATAGTATCTGAAGACAATGCTGGTTTGCAAGAAGCCCAGAAGCTTCGACCGTCCATCCAAACAGTTTGGCACAAAACTGGACACCTGGAGGTGAGAATCCAATACTTCCCAATGATTTGTCGAGCACTTAGATGACCTGGGCATGGGCAAGCGGTTGCGCTGGTAAAGAGAAGGCTCTGCGAAACCTGGCCACAGTGGTTAATGCGCACTTATTCCTGAGCACCTTCCAGCTCATCTGCGTTCTGTCTAATCAAGCCCTGCGTGTCGCGGTGAGGATTGACTTTGTTTCGCTGGGTTTTTTCCCCACCCGACAGGAAGGGGTTGTTAGATTTTATGTTGGAATCCGCGTTTGCGATGCTTCTACACCACGCCCCCACCCAGTATCCCCGCCAGAGCAGCTCGTTTGTGGATTCCGCCGAGGATCCCGCCAGAGCAGCTCGCCAGCGGATCCCGCCGAGTATCCCGCCAGAGCTGGGTCCCGCCGAGTATCCCGCCAGAGCGGCTCGCCAGTGGATCCCGCTGAGTATCCCGCCAGAGTAGCTCGCCAGTGGAGATCCCGCCGAGTATCCCGCTGAGTATCCCAGAGTAGCTCCCCAGTGGATCCCGCCGAGTACCCGCTGAGTATCCCTTGCCAGTGGATCCTGCCGAGTATCCGGCCAGTATCGAGCCGGAGCGGCTCGCCAGTATTCGCCAGTGGATCCTGCCAGTAATGCGCACAGTTAGGTTTACATTTCATGTTGGTGCCTTCGTGTTTTGAGTGTGCCTTGAGGCTTGCAAAGGGTGATGCTTTTGTGTTGCTTTGGGTTGTGAATAAGCAACTTCGTTTAATCCCCCGTCGGGTTTCTTTTTGGAA